CTCTCTCATCGTTGATGTTTCTATCTCTCTCTCTCCCTCTCCCTTCCTCTCTCTGAAATCAACAAGATGCATTTTAAAAAAACGATCTTTAAGCATGCGAAAGGACAGTGTATAGCTAATAAACAGATAAGCAAACACCTATCCTCAATTTCTCCTAAAGATCTGGCAAGATAGAATGAAATTTAGTTTCACAGGTAAAGTTATCTCCTATTATGCAAGTTTCAAGGCCCTGAAATATATTCTCTCTCCCTGAACAACTTGACGACGATGAGAACTGGTACCACTGGCCAAGCTCTGCCCTAATACATAACACCCATTCTCACATTCAATCCTTCACCAGCCCTATGAGTGGGCACCAGTTCCCAGGACTGAGATGAGAGAAGACGGAAGGAGAGGCCTCCTGAAGCTTCCTCCCGGGACAGTGCTCACCCGTTTGGCCACGGAGCTCTCCTGTTGTTCTTCCCACCTCTTCTGTTCTGCTCTGACACGTGCCTTATACTCTGCAAGCTCGGGAAGCTCTTCCAGCCACCGACGACGGGCATTCTGCACAGCGGTTTCTACCTGGAGGATATTGCGAGAGAAAGAGGTAAAGTGAGGTATAATATTTCCAAGGGACCCCATTTGCAAACAGCAACTATGACGTCATGTGTCTTTTACACTGCACTGCACTACATCACAGTTACAACTGACTTCAAGGACCTCGCCTTACCCCAAACAGTGGAGTCTAATCCTTCTGGTCTAAGCCTCCCTTCCCACACTGTCCCATGGAAACCCTCAGCAGGAAGTGGGGATGGATGAATGTCTGATGGCCAGGACTGTCTCAGAAAGCTTCATGCAAAGTACCAACTGCCACTGCCCTCTGTATCGTGGGGAAAGGAGAAGGCATGCACGAGGAGCCAGCTCCTCAGTCCTCACGCCCTACACACTCACACTCACACACACACACCCAGGCACACACCAACATAGTTTAGAGCCTTGTATCTGGCAAATTTTCCTGCTGTCAAAAATGAGTTTGAGACTAAAGAATAAGGGAAATACATGAATACAGGCAAAAATGTAAGACTTGATGAATTAGAAGGGTAATCTGCTTGCAAATCTGTTACAAGTTCTACCAGATCGTTTATTAAATAATCATTCTTTATTCTCTTGTTTTGAAATACACACAGATACACATATCCATATATCCATGCACACACACAAAAGCACAGTTGATATAAGAGACCGTGTTCCTCACTAAAATGTTAAATACATTTACAGGTAAATTCCAAAGAGTTAAAAATATGGGAAAAAGAATAAAGTTCCTATAGAAATGTATATCCCTTAAAATGTTACTGTGAACAATTTCCTTTACGCTGTACCACGCCACTGGTTTCTCTTCGCAAGACCTGTCATTTTATAAATACCAAAGCTGACCCCTTCAACATGCCTCTTTGTCTATAGAACATTTTCTTACTCTGTTCAAGTCTTACAGTCAACATTTCAGAAAATTATTTTGTAACTAATTGAGGATATCCTTGATATCATTACATACATTTGCCTGTTTCCAGACTTTAAGGATGTCCTGTAAAATCATGTGGAATAATTTAACAAATAAGCAGAATTTCAAGTATTTAACAAAAGCTGAGTATATTTTTCAAAATGTTACTTCAATATTATTATCTTAATTACTTCTAATAAGTAATAGTTCTAAATAATAAATACACAATAGATACTATCATATTAAGGTTCCAGGAATTTCTAAGGACTAGAAACCCTATCAGATAGTTTGGGCGGTCAAAACTATTTTCAAAATAATATGCAGACATTCTCTATCTTTTTTACTCCTGTTCTCTCGTGTGGAAACAGTATCTCTCTCCAGGCCACATGCTATGTGACGGTCTTACTGCTCCGACAGCCAGTGGAACATGTGCTAGAGGAGTCTTTTTTTTTTTTTAATTCTTATGTAAAGGTAATCCAAGACCAAAAAATTCGAGAAGTACTGTAATTGATAATATAGATAAAACAAATAGCTCCTCTTTATTCTGTTAACACAGAGCTATACTTTTCTCAGTATGACAGTTCTTGGAAACCAAGCGACAAGCCCCAGTTAAAAGTGAACTGGCTTCTTGAGTGTGTCCAAGGGGAGGCAATGGCACTGCTTTTGGGCAGAAGATGGGATTTATAGACCAGGTCCCACTTAAGGGGCAGGCCCGCAGACTCAACTCCACAAGTCTCAACGCAAACACTGCCAAAGACCTTATTTAAGTTTGCGTATCTATAACTACTTTAGTGGGATATTTTCTACACAGTTAGACATGAAAGATCCATAATTAAATTGTGTTTAATTCAGCTGTCGAGCCACCATCTTTAATCTTAGGTATCTGAATGCCCGGAGTGACCTCAGAGAAGCAAACATTTTGTAAACTGAAAGAATATATAGAAACATTGAGAGGGCATTATGTTTATAACAGAAACATAATGACGAAAATTTTAGGAACCACATAAAAGTTCTCTACCCTAGCATGCACAAAAACTTTATACTTTAAAGTTATGAACCAGTTCAATGGTAGCATTTTATAGGCTTTTGTTAATAGATAAGCAGTTCCAATAATTTTACTAAAATAAGCCTATTACCTGTTTGGCGATGTTCTCACAATATTTGAGTTCCAGCTCAACCTCGAGTTTCTGCAAGGCCCCCCTGACAGCCATCTCCTTTTCCTGCTCTAAGTCTTGCTGGATCTTGCGCTTCTGTTCTTCTACCATGACTGCCATCGCTTTCTGGGAAACGGCATCAATGGTGGTTACTTGGTCTGTTTGGCTGTAGCAATCGGAGGTCTTCTTTTTCGTTGCCTTTGTAGTCTGATCCAGCTTAGACTGCCACTCCTTTTCAAGCTGTTGAAGGAGTTCTTCTTTCATCTGTTTTCAAAAGAAAAATCATATGAGAAGAAAAATATTCAAATAATTATTAAAAAAAAAAAAAAAAACAAAACTGGAAAGGCTAGCCAAAAAAGCAACCACAGCTGTGTCTGAAAACCATCTAATTACATGAGGTTTGGAAATTCAGTCTGTGGAAATATATTCTCAAGCAAATCCTGAAAAGCACTCTTTGACCTTACCTATGTGACAGAAATCACACGGAAGGTTTCAATATGTTATGTAAAGTCAGGCTATCTTGCTCTCAAGATGCAACCCGCTGGAGGCTTTGACATTGACAATACAAAGATGGCATG